CTATTTAAATACCAAAATTCAAGTTATATTCTACTTTTAAACAATCTTTGATTTCCTATTGCTTTTAACAATAATCTTAAATACTAATAAGTTTTTTTTTTTATTAATCATGGATGACAGGCTTAATTTTTTTTTATATCGCATCCGTTATTAAAGCTGAAAGTGCCGATATATATGTTATACAATATGAAACTACTAAAGCAATAAACATTGCATCCTGGATATTTTTCATTTTCATGAAAAAATGTTAAATAGTATATTATTTAAAAGTTTTGTTATATCCTACAAAACATTTTAATAACATAATGACAGAGATTGAGAAGTATTAAAAATCAGTAGCCGTTAATATATATTAAAAACTAGCTTTTGCCGCGACTCCGTCCGCGTGGAGTAGTGACTTCCGGCAGATTTTTGGTTCTTCCCACATAGTTCCCGTTCTTGCGGGGTTTTCGGAATGGTTGAGTTCCCGTAGAGTTTTCAGGATAAAACCTCTGTTTGTTTTAATTCACAATGAAGTGCTCTTAACCAACAACATATATATTTGTTTATTTGAATAAAGATTTTATAAAATTATTTCGACCAAATGAGGTACCATAAAAACGGTTTTTGTGAGTTAATCTTAAAAGATAGACATATACTGTCGCGGACTGTTTTTTAGATCATTAAAAGAGCTATTATTCTTTAGTACATATTTTTTGTGTATTTTGAACCGTTTTCACGGCGCACGCAACGGAAGGCCTCAAAGATGAAATAATTTCTCCCGTTTTTTACACATTTACCACTATATCTTTGCTCCTATTGGTCGTAGCGTGATGTTATATAGCCCACAGCCTTCCTCGATAATTGGACTATCCAGCACAAAAAGAATTATTCAATTCGAATCAGTAGTTTCGGAGATTAGCGCTTTCAAACAAACAAACAAACAAACAAACAAACAAACAAACAAACAAACAAACAAACTCTTCAGCTTTATAATATTAGTATAGATAACGTTAACAAATTTCAGTTGAAATTAAATAAAAAGTTTATTTTAAGATTACATAAAATATCAAAAAGAAAAAAATATATCACATCATTTTAAGTACTAAAATTATTGTTCTTTTTTATGGCAATTTCTTTCTTATTGAAAAATAGCAACTATGTATATATTTCTATTCTTATTGAAAAATAACAACTATGTAAAATTTTGTTATTTGTCCCTAAAATTTCCAGTTCCGTCGAAACTTTCATGTTACTTGAGATGATTTTTTATTCTATCATAATTATTTTAACGTCTGGCGTATAATATTACAACGAGTGAAGTTGGCAGTTATATAATAACACTCCATTTAAAACTATTGGATGTCAAGAACTCTTGTCTGCGTTTCTAGAGTTTGACCTATTTCCTTGTAAGAATAATTGCATTGTAAGGCATTCAGATTATGCAATCGACTGAGAGTGCTGACTTACGAGAAGAAAGTAGATATTAACTTTAAAGACAATAATACAATTTTATTTAGAAAGATAAATTTTATCCCAAAAAATATATAGCTCGGAGATAGATGAAATATTATTTAAAAAAAATAAACCATTTCATTCAAAATTATTGCAAATATATAAATATATATAAATAAATATATGCAAATATATTTGCAACCATATAAGTTATACTGCAAATATGGAATACTGCAATAATAGATTGCAGTAGATAACAGTGGCCTTAAAAGAAGCAATTAACTGAAGGAAGTGGAAAGATATAATGAACAAACGTCAAGAACCTTTCAATAACACTACCTTCAGTAATAAATATGACGACAAAGAAGAAGGAGTAATACTGGAGCCATTTGAGTAATTTTCAGCATTACATAAGTTATTATTTTTGACCTCCTATAAAAATCGTTTTAATAATAAACGTATTGCGTATATAGACATAATTCTTGTTGATAAATTTATTTATAAGTAAACCTTAAATCTGTATATACTAATAAATAAATTAATTCATTTAATTATTTTATTCAAATGTATAATTAATATTAATTGACTATTAACTCTGTTATTTAGAGACAACCGTTTGTGCTGGCTTGTTGTTTTGAAACTTAACAAGACATAGTAATTACTTCTACTGTGTAAATGTAATAAATTCAACAATATTGTATAGGTTGTTGTTGGTAAACTATTTCACAATAGGCTTTATGAAATCTTGAAATATAATACAGAGAGGTATACTCAGACATAATTAAGGATACGACTTCTTTAACTTTAATCTTATTTGAAGTTTTAGAAATTATTATACATATTATTTGGAAAAGTTAAAATCACCTCACTGGAAACCTATATTAAATTATATAAAATTCAATATTTAGTTTTTTATGTGGTAGTTTTTTAATCGTCATAATATAACACTGTTAATTAAAAAAAACTGACATATTGGACGCTTCAAAAATCCTATTGAATTCACTTTATTACAGGTTTTAAAACATTGAATTGAATGAAAAGCTGATATTAATTCACTTATACGTCTTTTAGAGACGATTGTTCCTCTAGTATCTATTGGATTTTTATTATTTATTTGTTATACTTTTGGAATTATAAATTTTTCTAACCCCATTCCGTTGATACGAGAAAACTTTTTGAATTCAATACAATTTAATCTCGTTTATTACTTGTCATAGCTCTTTAACGGTATGCTACAAAAGAGTTCGTCTGCAGAGAGACATTTTGACTAGATAATGTCTAATAAATCCAGCGACCTTCACGCATGCAAAAGCACGATTCATTGTCAAGTTCCGTGTGAACCGAGCGTGCGAGCAAGGCGAGTAACAAGTGATAGAGGCACTTTAGTTCTTTGTATTAAAAATAATATAAATTAACTCGGTGATAATAATGAAAACAATAGTTTGAAATATTTTTATTAATGTTATCATGTCAAATTATAAACCGTAAACAGATTTTAAGGTATCAATTTAATTCTTATAATATCTGGGTTTCGCCTCCTACTTTGAATAATCTGCATACGAAGATATAATTGAATAAAGATTCATAGTTTTTATAAATAAATAATTTTCTGGCATATCCTATGCAAAATTGTTAATAAAAAAAATACATACTTATTTATTTTATTACTTAATGTTAACCCTTTTGTAAATATTCTTATGTTGACTAAATAAATTTTCAATTGAATGTTTTTATAAAAGTAAGCAAGTTAGTCAATTTTAATTAATATTCAGTTTGAGATAAAGTTTAATTAATTTTTTTAGAGACACTTCCGCCATGCAGTTGCGGCTTTAATGTTTTTATCATATTATTTCTTAAAATGCAAGGAAATTTTGCTGTTATACTTAAATACGGAAGGCTAATAAACCAGAATTATAAATACTAATTATTGTATTAAACTTTTCGTAACTTATATCTTATTGGCTATTTACATAGATACTTTTTTTATTCGGTAATATGTTTGTTATAAAAGTATTTACAGATAATAAATTATTCTTTTTTAGAAAATTAAATACACCCTATTGTTATGATGAGATGAAAGCTTTTCAACATATCATATATTCAACTTACGGGTAGGGGGCCCATTGCGTTACAGGGAGAGGAGCTTCAACAGAAAATGGGATTTGCGACCCAGAATATAAACATTATATCTAATTACATGTAGGTTTAGTTACAGAAACTATTTTACAGCTATATAGATTGCAATAACGAAAACAAAGAAAGACTTTACAGACCGTTCACTAGCTAATTTATGATTATTTCTTAGTACCATATTAAATGGTTTCAGAGTGTTTTGTCTGTTTTAATAGTAGGTTATGTCGTGAAAGTAAAAGGTGCTCAACGGAGCACTAAAGAGTTATACGGTGACGCCAATAAAAATATCAACTTTTTGCATACGCCATTTTGCTGTTATCGTCAGTCTTAAATATACGTTGTGCATTTTGTATCCCACTCTTTAATTATCAAATTGAAATTTGTATACAGAGATATAGAAGTTGATATTAAATAACATCATTTATAGAAAAAAAATAGGGGACTGTTTAAAAAATGTTTCACATAAAAAGTTATGAAATATTAATAAAAATTCACTCTAAGCTTTCAGCATGCACCATCTAATGATACATAAATGTCACGAGGTCGCTATTTCGCTAAATGTATATATGAATACCACTAAAATTATGCGGCAGATTCTTATTTTTATATATTTAGCGTATTTCATCCAACTATACAAAGTAATATGTTCGAATACAATCAAATCTAAGTTACTATATAAATCTGGAATGTTCTTGATGTAAACATAATATGTACAAGATATTGCCTTGTCTATTTTTCAGTTGACACGGGCTAGTATTATATATTTCATTTTAATTACTTTGTCAGATTAAACATTGAGATTTCATAATAAGGATTTAAATTGTATAGAAAAAATAAAATGCTTAAATTAAATAAATATTTTTTTAAATTTTATTTTGCGTTTTCAAATAAAGACCTGTCTTAGGACAAAAGGAATAAAATGTGTATAATATAATTTTTTCATAAACAGCCTGAATTAATGAAGGTTTTTTTAATTATTTGATATTTAGTGTGGATTATATTGAGCTAAGTGCTTAATTATCTTGGGACAAAAACACATCACCGGTGTTATTTTAATATCTAAAATTAATTTGAAAATAAACTAACACCAACCAGGTCTAAATTGACTATTTCTATTTGAATGAGCTCCTGTCAAAAGGATTGATAACTCTAAAGTCTAAACAAAGCGTGTTTTTATGGAGTACGTTTATAATTATAATTTATAATTAAACAATTATAATAAATATTTACTAGTTTTAGTGAAAACTATTTGAAAATTTTCCGTGTAGTTCTGTTTTCCTGACCTAAACAAATGTTTATTTTGTCTTAAGTCTAATTTGAAAACACGCCTTTTTAATCCCATTATGGCCCAATATAAACTTGACATGGTTGTTTACTCAAATTAGTTGCGGCAAATATATAAAACAATTGTCATGGTGATTTCATAAAACTCATTACTCTACAGAAAAGCATTATCCAGCCACAAAGGTATATATTTAAAATTTGCTTTGAATAACTTATATTCTATTTATTTTAACAGTTACTATAATGTTTATTAGACAACATTAAAATTGAAGTAGTATGAAGATTAAAAATTTATATAAGTTTCTTAAAATAGGTAAAATAAAAGACAGAGATATACGTTTTTTTTTGTGTAAGAAGGCTCAATCAATAGTACGACAATAAGGTGTGTACATATACGTCAAAGGTCAATTAATAATGAATATTATACTTGTAATACATTTATACAGATATTCCAACTGAAATAAAGTAAGTCAAAATTCTCGGTTTTGAAGATCCAGTTATACCGTTTAATAGGCGGCGAGATTATGTTTAATTTAATCTGAACAACAAGACACCAGACCAAGGCGATCAGGAATAAAATACGGTGCCATTTGGTCCAGTTCGGTGCTTCAGAGGCTATTATAAATATAAAGGGGACTATCGTTTTGTTATATTTATCGTAATAGACGAAAAAATCTAAATAATTACTAGGTTTACTCAAAGATATCCAATTATATTAGTACGTGTGAGTATACTAGTAGTATAGAATGACTTTAATTCATTTCTTTTAATAATATATGAGACGAAACTACTCAGCATTCCATGGATTCACCGTGCGGGTGCCGGGTCCATCGCGTTGCAGGGAGAGGAGCTTCAACAGTGCCTGGGACTTGCGACCCAAGTGTAGGTTTAAGGAGCCCCTTAACTAACGCGCGTTATACGCTCACCTCCACTGTCCAAGCTCCTCTCCCTACCTAACCAAATTTGAAAAGAACCTACTAGGGCTGCCTTCGATATACGTTCCAAGAATGCATTAATGTGAGTTCTGGACAAGCCCAAGTCCTTTAGTAGGTTGTAGAGAGATTTCGCTGTTATACCTCTCGCTCCCACCTCTACCGCGTACAAATCTACTACGAACCTATTTCGAGTGAGTTCGTTTGTGAGCTCGTAATATTTGTTGACCTTGATGGTATGGCCTTTGGGGATGTTGGTTTCCCAAGGGACCGTAAGCTCTATCATCACTACGCGCTTTAAAATTCGCGAAAACAAAAATATATCCGGTCTGGAGGCCGACGCACAAATATCCTCGGGGATTTTGTATTGTTTTTCATACGTGTCCATCATTACAGTCCAATCCGACGCCGCTTTAAGGATGGAGTAAGGCTTGACGTTTGATTTTGTAGCCCTAGTGCCTTCTCTCACAAAACCTACGGATCGTTCGTTTGTGGTTATTTGCTTTTGCGCTCTGGCTACCGAAAGACTAACCGCTTCACGTATGACTTCTAGAACCCTATCGTGACGACGCGAGTATTGACCGCTGTCCAGGAGTACCTTACATCCCACCAGCAGATGCTTAGCAGTTCCAACTGCCTTTCCACAGATATAGCAAGTTTTTTCGGTACTTTTACCCCATCTTACTAAATTACTCTGATCTGGGAGAGTCATCTGGAACGCATTGAGATAGAATTTTAGCAATGCTGGCGACCAATCATAAATTAAAGTGCGCCATTTTAATGCTAATGGGATGCAAAAATCTCCTATGTCTAACCACTCGTTCTGCATTTCTAAATTCATTGCATGGATCTTATATTTATCATTCTCGTCTTGCCGAATAAAAGACTTCAATATATCCGCATCTTGGACTTTCCTATTTGATCCTAACCCCGCTCTGTTACTTTGTGCTCCTATCATAAATTGCTTATGGAATTGAAGTCGTGATTCTAGCTCGGGGGCATCTTCATGTTTTGGGAGCGATGTGACTATGTCATCATGGGATTTCCCCAGGATATATCTCTTGGAAACTCTTAGGTGTTTATAGAGCTCCGATGGCCTTTTTAGACTCATCCCAAAACTATTGCTTCCCCTAAATAACGCCGATGAATCAGCCGTTAGAGCGAGCCCGAGCCACAACTTCAACATCTTTATGACGCCTGCATCTAACTTTGACAAAAGGGTTTTATTAAAATCATAGACGAGGAAAGGCCAATTCAAACGTGAAGTTAAGTAATTCTCGTAGATCCACGCTTTTTTGACGTTACTTATCAGTTGGCTATCTACCTTGTTAAGATCGTTCAAAAAGCTATCTACTATTCCTTCTAAAGATGGAGCACGGCCTATATTATCAATCTTACGACCGAGAAATTTAAATGGTGCATTTTCCGTAACCGTAGAAATGCATTGACCGCCTAACGATAGTCCCGGATCGTATGAGGTGTATCTTGTATTCCGCCTACCAAGACACAGACAGTGACATTTACTTGGTTTTGTCCTCAATCCATCCGTCCACTCACAGAATTTATCCACTTCATCCAATACTACTTGACAGTGTTTGGGGTGACGTGTCAGTATTGCGAGATCGTCGGCGAAGGCTAAAATGGATTCCGTGTATTTGTTATTGAACTTAAACCGATACCCCCATTTTTTCTCATTGCTGATAAGTTTATCTACTAGGATATTGATTATAATATTAAATACTATTGGAGATAAACAGCACCCTTGGAATAGTCCTACATTGTAACTCAAACTTTTTGAAGGGCCTTCTTTTGTTTTTTTTTGTTGAATGAAAAACTATACTTTATCTTGTATTACAATACACTAATTTTATTAAGCTTTGAAGAGCTAAAGCAGTAAAATTTATTAAGTACTCAATTATTTTTCTGTTAAATACAAATATAAATTATTTAAGTTAACGCCAGCCTCACACTAAGAACGTAAAACATAAATTTATATATGAAATTTGGAGATTGTAGACGTCTTAAAATAATTTTTAACAAGCTATTAAATTCTAAGTTTATGGAGACATTTATTCATTTCATATACGATAATTAACCATCCGCTGATTTTGGCGTCAATAAAAAAGTAGTTAAATAAATTAATTATCGAGAGTTTAATTTGTTAAGACAATAAACATTACTGACAAAATGTCATAATTGGGTTAAGTCCATTTCTTTAAGTGTCTCATAAAAACATTTATACACAATTTTCTTTTATTTTAAAATATTTTTTGGTTTATAGTTATTATAACTTATCTTCTAATGAAATCAAGGACTTAATATTAATTTCTTAATTTAAATCGTTCCTTAATATTTTATTCAAACTTCTTCTAGGCCACTTAGGTAAATCTTAACTTCAACAATATAATTACTTAATATATGGAGAAGCAATTATTTTATCTGGAGTTATAATAGTGTGAGTGTGAGGCGTGCACTCAGCGTTATTACTAATGTACATAGGTGTACAACTTTGCTTCCGCCGTTTTGCAATAGATGGTTGTAGCGGTAAGTGGTAATCGAAATAAATAGATCGTTGATGTCATACAATAAGCTTAGGCATTTGTAAACATAACGCCATCGAAATATTAGTCGATTTGTGTCTGCATCATAAAGTTATTCTCGATTAAACATGTCAGCTTACGAGCCAAATTCTCGTCATTTGCGGGAGGTTTTAATTTTCTGCTTTAATATGAAGAAATGTGCGGCTGGGGCTCATCGAATGCTCTCAAATACCTATGGTGAGGCTGCTATTAGTGAAAGAACGTGCCGAGAGTGGTTTCAACGCTTCAAGAACGGTGATTTTGACGTCGAAGACCGGCATGGCGGTGGAAGAGAGAAGGTTTTCGAAGATGCAGAATTGGTGGCATTACTTGATCAAGACTCATGTCAAACGCAACAATAATTGGCAGGATCATTGGGAGTGATGTAACAAGCCATTTCAAAATGCCTGAAAGTCATGGGAATGATTCAGAAACAAGGAAATTGGGTGCCGTACGAGTTGCAGCCGAGAGATGTTGAACGGCGTTTGTTTGCTTGTGAATAGCTGCTTGCAAGGCAAAGACGGAAAGGATTTCTGCATCGCATTGTGACTGTGGACGAAAAATGGGTTCATTACGATAATCCCAAGCGCAGAAAATTATGGGGATATCCCGGCCATGCTTCCACGTCGACGGCCAAACCGAATATTCACGGTTCCAAGGTATGCTCTGTATTTGGTGGGACCAGCTCGGCGTAGTGCATTATGAGTTGTTAAAACCGACTGAAACAATCACCGGCGATAGTTATCGAACACAATTAATGCGTTTGAGCCGAGCATTGAAAGACAGACCGCCGCAATACAACGAGATACAAGATAAAGTGATTTTACAGCACGACAATGCTCGACCCCGTGTTGCGAAAGTGGTCAAGACATACTTGGAAACGTTGAAATTGGAAGTTCTACCCCACCCGCTGTATTCTCCAGATGTTGCTCCCTCGGACTATCACTTATTTCGATCAATGGCACACGGCCTGGATGACCAGCACTTCCGGTATTATGAAGAAGTTAAAAATTGGATCTATTTGTGGATCGCTTCAAAAGATGACCAGTTTTTTCAACGCGGGATTCGTATGCTGCCCGAAAGATGGGAGAAAGTAGTGGCCAGCGATGGACAATACTTTGAATCATAAATGTATAACCAGTTTTTTACAATAAAGCCTCGAATTTCGGAAAAAAACGGCGGAAGCAAAGTTGTACACCTAATACTAAAAATAGACGATTGATATTTTATAAGCATAGTTAGTTTCTGAGTTATGAGCGTATTTTTTTAACTAATTTGAATATCTTAAATCTTTGAACATCACTGATATAGCGACCATGATATCTAAGATTTTAGTGTAAATATATTGACATAAAAAGTAGTCTTTTTTAAGAATTTACTCCCATATTTATTTTATTATTTCAGTTGACGTTTCAACTATTTTACAGTAAAGTATATATATGTACATATAAAAGCAAAAGTAAAAAATTTAACAAGTCATTTTTGTTAAATTTGCTTGTTTTTCTTTGTGTTCCATAATTATTTTATTTTGGAAAAGAAATAACCAACTGTATCACATAACATGAACCTATAATAACAATAATCTTATAACTTATCCTATGCAAATATCTGTAAAACGGGCCAAGTGGCAGATCGTTGGACTGTGGCTTGTTCAGAAATAAGGTAATTAATTTTATATAATGTTTTAGTTATCTATCAATTCAAGTGATTCCTTACAATCGATACAATACTATTATTATTAATGAATGATATACATACATTATTGGACCATTTTAGTTGGATGGTTACGTCAGATTACTGCATTAAATTAAATAGTATTTTTTAAAACTTCAATTCATTGCTTTTGCTGTATTTTTATATTTTATAAATTTAAATGTAACGTGATTTTGTAATCAGTAGAGTAATAGAATATTTTTAAATTTACTATATATTTTGGTAGTAAATCTAAAATTAAAGTGTTTTATTTTGAGATATATTTTTTTAATGTTACTCAAATATTTCAATGATCGATTTTCGTTTTACGCAGTTTTCTCTCAGACAAAATTTATGACATTTCGGAAATAAATCCCTAAGTCACATTTAATATAGAATTATTATCCGGTATACTTGAATTTTACTCTTGAAAACAAATTTCTTGTATCTGTTTACGTTGTTCTAGTATCTACGCACAATATTTTTGTAGTCATCTTAACTACATAGTTAAAATATGTTTAAACACTGGCAGTGATGAATTTCTTAAAACCATGCTTTTCTTTAAACTACACATGCTACTACTACTGAGGCTTGGTTTAATTATAACAATATTCCAGGCTATTCATTAATAAATAAACCACTAGAGGGATTAATGAATCAGTAAGAAGAGGTACAGTAAGGGCCTACATTCAGAACGGACTTAAATATACAGAACTAACGGTAGTCTCAAACGGATTGGAGTGTTGGTTAGTCGTGAAACTGAAAAGACATAAGGCAGTTATTGGGTACTTTTATAGGTCAAAAATATTTAATTATTATTTATAAATGAAGTATAAAGAAATGATATCATCTTTGAGTTATATGTATGATCTTGTTTTCATTACTCGTGATACAAATATCAACTTATTGCGTACAAATGAGCCCTAAATTGTTAGACTACTAGATTTTCTATCACAGTATGGTTTACATCAAGTCATTGGTGAGCCTACAAGAGATTGTAATTCCAGCTAGTCCTTATTGGACGTGATTTATTGTTAAACAAAATTATTGACAAAAACCGTAATCTTAAAACAAAACGATTTCGTGAGTTAATACGATCTCAATCGATTAAGCCTGCTTTATGTTCTAACGCGAATAACATCACATAACTAACGAATTAATATCATATACATAAGCGATCTTAATTGCTGGTCTACTTTTAATCAATGTCAAGCAAAGGAAATTAAACCTATCGCTTCATATCTAGGTATTCATATATATATATATATATATATATATATATATATATATATAACCAATAGTTAAAAGTTTCCTCAGGGGAAATTATCATATTCTTTTATAAGAAACTTCAAACGATTTGTAGCGATTGTAAATAAAGCAAATACTATGGCGTTTTATCTAAATTACATTATACAATATGACTTTGATATTTTTTTCAACAGTTATCTTATTAAAGTCTAAAACATAAAAACTTATATACCATAACAAATGGAACAGGTTCAATTTTTAACTTATTCTGTAAGCAAAATATTTTCCAACTACTACTTAACTAATAATT